TACCAGGTGGCGTCACAGACACACAAAAACCGAAAGACATGCGCTCATAGCTCGCTCCACATTCAACACACAACATACATGGTACACAACAACCATACGACACACACCACTGTTCTCAAAGGTGTCACAATTCTGCATAGATACGCCGCTTGGACACGTAAAACCTATAATGGTGGCTTGAATTTAGATTCATTACAATATGCATTCAGTGTCTGAATAATATATCTAGCAATTTATTGATGCATACTTTTTCCAGTTTTCTTCGTTTCAACATCCTGTGCATTGATATAATGTCTAAATATTCATAATATTTGTAATAATTCATTCATTCATTTAAACATCAAATTACACAAACACACAGAAACAAAGACACCCTGCACATTGCACACACAACCCACATTATTTCCTTACTTACACACAAACAAACAAACACACACACACACACACACACTTAACGCAGACCCTACACCGAAGAATAAACATACATTACACAACATAATTAACAGCAACATTACACATACATATCTATACGACGTTCATACCGCCGTCAGTGCAACCAATATGTAGCATAACATGTTGTAAAGGTAACAATCTTTGAAGGCTTTTGGAACGTTACACATAATGATGATAGTTTGGCATGAACACTGACAAAACGAAACGGTGGTTTGTGTTACCCGGAACTCAAGGGCTGGATAATGAAGCAGAACATCCAATAATATGATGTCTTTGGATCGGTTCATGTGATTGATAATGTCAAGATGTTCATCTAAACGTTAGTATTTAATCTCATCGACAAGCCTTCCATGAAGATCCGGGTTAGAACTGATCTTCAGCAACCCATGCTTGTCATACATAAGAGGCGACAAACTGGATCGGTGGTCAGGCTTGGGTGACACGTGTAATCCTATCCCAATTGGGTAGATCGATGCTCACGATGTTGATCACTCGATTGTCTGGTCTAGGCTCGATTATTCAAAGACCGACGCCATATAACTGGAGTGTTGCTGAGTAAGTTGGTTCAACAACCAAATAATATAACAAACACATCGCATCACTAACCAAATTAAAGAAGTTCGGCGGGGCGACACCAGACATGGGCTTCACATATCGTACCCATGTGGGGAATTAAACCCGGGTCGTGATAAGCGAACGCTTTAACCACTAGGCTACCCCCATCGCCCCTGTGATATATAGAAGTTGACGGTGTAGTGATACAGGCCTTTGACGTGTTGAGGGGTTTGACGATGACGAGAATACTGCACAAAAGGTAGGTTTAGTTTGATTTCATTCCCATCCGTTACATTTGACCCGGTGATGTTTACAAATGGCATAATGGCACACAAATGGTAGAAGAATGCCCACAAGCAACAGCCAGTACAAGAATAATAAACACAACGGTTGGAGAGAGCATCATATTGATTCGGGTCTCCGGGAGTCAGAACGTAATGCAGATATAGCTCCGGGATACAAGAGATGCTGAGTGGTATAACATTATTAAATGGTGGGAAATCATCAGGTTTAGATATGGTATTACCGGAAATGTTCAAATCATCATGTGACCTAGCTATGCCTTACGTGCAGGTTTTATTTAATAGAATATATTCCACAGGCGAATTTCCCTCCTCCTGGAGCAAAGGCATCATAGTACCTATCTACAACAATGGTCCTCGAGATGATCCTAATAACTACAGGGGTATCACTGGAAATAGTATATTCGGAAAGATATTTGCAACTATAATTAACCGCAGATTAAAAACATGGGCAGAAGATAATAACAAGATATGCGAAGAATAAGCAGGCTTTAGGCCTGGATACGCAATAACGGACAACTTGTTCACACAAACTGCTTGTATACAGAAATATTTAAGTAAACGTAGAGGTCGATTCTATGTTGCCTTTGTAGACTTTAAAAAAACGTTTGACTCTATAGATAGAAATGAACTTATGTATGTCCTCCAAAAATGTGGTCTACCTGTTACAATGTGGACTATGATCAAGTCTATGTATTCGTCTGTAACAGCATGCGTACAGTGTAACGCTGGTTTTACTGAGTGTTTTGATTGTCCTATCGGACTAAAACAGGGCTGTGTATTAAGCCCAATTCTTTTTACTCTTTTTATTAATGAGTTGGCTGCCGATATTCTTGATACTTGTCGTAGGGGAGTACAATTATAGTATTACCCTGATTTACATGAACTGTTTCTACTGATGTTTGTCGATGATGTTATTTTCATGTCTGATAGAGTTAGTGGGCTACAAGAGCAACTGAATATTCTAAATGATTACTGTTCAACATGGAAGTTAAATGCCAACCTTTCAAAAACAAAATTATTATTTTTCGAAAGGGTGGAAATCTTTTAAAAAAGTGAAAAATGGTATTATCGCAATGAAATTGTAGAATTTTGTTCCAGAATATAAGTACCTTAAAGAGCACTAATGAATGTTTTAAAATTAGTTTGGACATATGGAAAAGTCCCACTCGGAACATTTTTGAAAATGTTTGATTCAAAACTTAAACCCATCCTTCTTTACCGATGCGAAATACGGGGACATCAAAGACTAGAGGTGGTAGAGAGGGTCCAGTTTCTCTCATGTAAACATTATCTGGTACAGGCATTAACAGTCCTAATGTATGGGTCTCAGTAGAATGCGAACCATACCCATTGTTGTAGATAGTTGGGTTAAGTTATTAACTCCTGGCTAAAACTACTTCACATCCTATCCGAGTAAACTTCCGAGTAAGGCGTACGAAATGTTAGTTAATCCTGATTCAGTAGGTAGACATAATTGGGCAAGACATATCTTACTTAGTTAAGGTCTTGGTTATGCTTTGGACTATCAACTACTTTTCTCAGCATTTTCCAACCCAGATTAAAAGATATGTACTCCCAAGAATCGACAAATATAATAGCATCTAGCACCAGATATGAATGTTATGCAAGTTTTAAGATTAGCCTTGAAGAAGAGAAATATGTAATAGTTTCGACCTTGTGTACATTTGCAACCGACTTTGCTCGTGCTCGAGTTGGATGTACACGGTTAAATATTGATACCGGGAGACATAATAAAATTGCAAAGTCTGAAAGGGTATGTTTATATTGTAACTTAAAACAATCGAAGATCTGTACATTTCACCCTCATATGTCCATCCTTAAAGAACATTAGAAAGAAATACATACCAATTAAATAATATGGGCCTATGGCCTTCATACAATAAACATTTGATTGATTTAAACGTATACTTGTGTCCGTAGGGCAACTAACAACTTTCAGTGAGTGTAACCTCAAGGAAAGTCCCTTTTATCTAAATGCCTTACCTCTCACTGTACATTGGCTGGCTGTTCTGACCACATTTCGAAATTTTCTTATTGTATTGTGTCATTATGTGTAGAGACTGGTAACTCGCTCCACACTCAATACACACGGTACAAGATAACCATACAACAGGCACTACTATATCCGGGGGCACGGCTCGCCCAGGTGTCAAAGGTGTCATAGATACTTAGATTCTGTATACTTTCTTTGCACGCCTAAAATCTATAATGGTGTTTTGGATTTAGATTCAGTACAATATACATTCGGTGTGAATAATATATCTAGTAATATATTGACGCATCCTGTCTTTGCTTTTCTTCCAATATCCTGTTAATTGACATAATCCCTATATATTTATAATACTTGCAACAATTGTAAAGCAATGAACGAAACAAACATTCTTTAATCTATATTCATTCATTCATTCATTCAGACATAAATCCATCCAGACATTCAGACATCCATCAAGACATCCATCAAGACATCCATCTATCCAGACATCTAGACAACCATCCAGACATCCATCTAACCATCCAGACAGATATCAATACATCCAGACATGCATCCATCCATGCATCCAGACATCAAGAGATCCAGACATCTATCCAGACATCCAGAAATACATCCCGACACCCCGACATCCATCCACCCATCAGGACATCCAGACATCTAGACATTCATCCAGACATCAAGACATCCATCCAGACAGACATCTACCCATCGCATTACACAAAACCCACCTTACTTACACGTAAGACATCACACATTAAATGCAAACTCTACACCCTAAAATATAAATACATTCCTAAATGCAAACACTTATATACGCTACACAACTGAATACATATAACTTTGAAAAGAACAAATAAATCCACTGAACTTGAAAAAGAGCCCAAGTGAGATGGGAGGTTCAGACCAGAGGAAATCTGGACTTGCTACATTTAGGGATTGCGCATTCCAGGGAGGTTATAACGTACTCCAGGGAACACTGTTCGACGAAACTATACAGCCAACGGTAGAAGTAAATAGAACCCGTTATATACGTCAGTTCAGTACAAACGTAGTTTACATCAGATACGCTAAACATGTAGGGAATCGTATTATATAAATGTTAATCACAAGTACAACAAAGGTAAGAGTAGCAAGTCGTGATGAGTCTGTGGATTTTTGCCTTGATGAAACTGGTATGCGTGCATTGGTCAATAATTCAATTTTTGCATACACTTTGGTTAGTTTTGTAAACAACAACAATAACCAAAAAATACAAATTGTGGACGATTGACAACATTGAAAGTGTTCCAGATCAGTATCACGAGTACATAATCGATTAATCCGAGAACGAGGTTCCGCGAAATCCATCTCAAGCAGTTTGCTACATACTTTCAACAGGCTACTGGACTGTCCAGATCATTAGAAAGTGTTTCCTTTTTTTTTGGCCAAACAGTTTACATTAAGTTGATATTCCTCATAAATAAGCTGTTGAGACAACGTTTGTGGAAGACTTGGTGGCTATTTTCTGGAGCCAGTAGTGCTGTGAAGCTAATTTCAATAATCAATTAACATTAGTTTACTTCCTTTTGGACACCATGATATTACGTTAATATTTAATGTTCGTGTCCTGTAAACTTGCAATGTGTTTTAAATGCAATATCTAAAACTAACGTCTCCTTACAAATGACATACACTGGTTATATTTACCATTTATTGATTGTTACGTTTCATGAAATCCCAAAACAACCAAGCACTCGTGGAGTTGTCTGACAAAGAATATGTTAAGTATTATCCATAAATAGAGACATGGATCAACATTTATTTGGAGACAAAATGTGCTGAACACAACCACCACAACCACGTGTGACAAGGTTCTGAGGCTATAATTATAATGTATAGGGCCGTTTCAATGCTTGTTTAGTGTTCTAATGCTGGTTGCACACAGTCTACCCCACCTCCTGGGGGGGGTGTTGGTTAATCAGATTTAAGAAGTCCTGGCTCTCTCTGACGTAGCTTTGGCTTGTCCTGTTTCTGTAGGGTATGCTGGAACTGGTCCATGAGGGTAAGATGGTGGAGGTTGTGCCGTCCCTGCAGGTTGAGTGTAGTGTGTACCTGGAGCAGGCTGAGGTGGGTAGACGTACCCTGCATTGTATGCACCAGGGGTAGTGTTTGAACCTAGACAGAAATAGACACGATCAGCCGAACATGTAGTGTAGTAATGCTATCAGTTGGTTAGCAAGCAAAGGATAAACGACATGTCTGTTCCCGACTCGCACAGTTCTGACAACTAATAGCCTACAAGGCTGCTTTGACACTGTACATCAGATGTTTGTTGAAACACATTCCTAGACTTTTAGGGACAGTCAGATAATCATTTCCATCATATATTTCCATCAACCTTCTCCTCACTTTCACAAACACATATTTTATCGTTCATAACTACACTAGCAAAATCCATGGCATCCTCGATAATCTCCAGGGTATACGTTACGATCAATCTCCACTATACCCTGGATACATCCACGGCTTGGCCCGATAATTTTATTACCTCCCTTTGCAGGCTCCGCATTCTCACAGTAGCCAATCAGCTAAGCAGCCGTTACATCCGAGCTTGCCAGTGTCAACAAAGATAGCGGTCGCAGTCGCGAAGGTTTGTTCGCAGTGACACTGAGATTTTGGGGAAATAATACAGACAAATTGACAGATCTGAAACTTAAAAAAATATATGAAAGAACTCCTTCTACCTCTTTCAGGGTAGCTCTGCGTCAATTGTGTTGCCAAGTTTAAACGGTTAGATAATTTAAGAAGCGAAAGTGGTTTGTGATTGGTTCGCTCAACTTCCCAGCGTAGACACCTGATTGGATAAAAAGCCAGCTAAGGGAGGTAATAAAATCATAGGGATGCATCAAGGGTATAGTGGAGATTGATCGTAACGTATACCCTGGAGATTTTCGAGGATGAATCCATGGTTGCGAGTATGTTACTGAGACATTTAATCAGGACAAATCGGGAAGTCTAAGCATTTTAGCAAACTTGATGAAGGCAATTCTGAAAGCAGCCTGTAGATCTTTGGACGAGGATGCTAGTGTGTGTGGGTATTACCATTTTGTTTTACTGTCATTTATGATTCTGCAGCAAAACTGATTACCATTAATTTTACAACCGGAAAACATAGTGTCGTGTAAACATGCAACGCATCAAAAGTTAAAATATGCTGATAGTCCTTTATTCTGCTCGTGTCCATGCTATACTTCATTTATTAAACTTCATTTTAAACTACATTTGAAAGATAGTGTGATTTTAAAGATAGAGTCCCAAATGAAATCTTTGACACATTATGGTTATGGATGGAAGTTGTTGTTTTTTAAATTCTGTTTTGTTTTCTTGGCGTCCAGAACCTGGCACTTGATTGATGGCGAGGAATGCGATCTCACGTGTGTAATAGGTTCCTAGCGCGGAGTGATACTCGTGTCCTAGTGGCCTCAATGAGGAATTTACAATAGTGACATGTAGGGTTAGTTTAGGAGTCTGTGTCGTGAGAAAGGCATGTAATAAATATAGAACGTCATACTAATGAATAAGCACGTATGGTATGGATTTACAACTTCTTTATGTATCTTATCTACAACACGCCGTTTCTGGGCGACTGTCTTGCCCCTTCATAGTGTTGTAAATAATATAGAGGTTGTATATCAATACCATACGTTATTCTGTTAACTTCTGAGTGAGTGAGGGAGTTTAGTTTTACGCCGCACTCAGCAATATTCCAGCTATATGGTAGAGGTCTGTACATTATCGAGTCAGAACGAGACAATCCAGTGATCAACAGCATGAACATCGATCTGCGCAATTGGGAACCGATGACAATGTGTCAACGAAGCCGGCGAACCTGACCACCCGATCCCGTTAGTCGCCTCTTACGACACGCATGGGTTACTGAAGATCAATTCTAACCTGGACCTGCACGGTTAATGTTAACTTTTAAATGCCCATCAAGGATCCGTCGTACTAGTGCATCTGGACTTTATGTATTGAACTCGAAGATGTCATAGTTGGAGAGAAACAACTGGTTCTCGTTGTTTCTCTAATACCATGACATCTCATCGTTCAATACACAAGGTCCCAATGTACTGGTATGGCGCTGTCTTTCTATCTGTTTACCCATTACAAAGATGGTCATAACGATTCATGTACAGTACCAGTAGTAGGTAATACAGCAAGCAGTTGACCGGTGGTAACAACTTGACCTTGGTGACCTTGGTGACCTGTAGAAGACTTGCAGCAACGGACACAACACATGACGAATCCAACAATCACGACGATCGTCAACACAGCACTGCACACGATCCCGATAATAAGTGCAACCGTTGCAGTCGTTTCGACATTGTTTCCGCTGCAAGAAACATGTTGGGCAATATGAGAACACCACCTCGGCATTATCAGGGACCATTGCTACCTTCAGTTCCAACCATACTACCTCACTCCACAAGAATAATCCACACTAATTAGTTTTTAAGATTTTCTAGCATCCCGATTCATCGCCAAGATGAAAAAATATAAGATGCTGAGTGTCAAGGGCCAAATTTGTCATGAAATCTTAGTTGACACTGGCTTCACGCCCACTTCCGTTCCTAGACACGATTATGCATCTCAAGAGGATTGGTTCCGTGATTTTTATTGAACTATATCAGATCAAAGATATACCTGATGCTCTAGTTACACTGATGTGACTTGTTCATGTATATCAATGAATGATTGTCAAAAAGTGAAATTAAAAGAATGTTCGATTTTGCCTGAGTGGATGTGAGCAGTTTGGTTTGTCAACTGTGATAGTAGTCAACGACAAATAGATGGAAGTTTGCGTTGAATTGGGTATAGGTCACGTGAGCCCAAACGTAATCAAATAATCAATTTCCCATTTCGTCAACATACGTTGTTGTTTCTTTGTTATTTTAAGGAAACGTAGACATGCAGCCATGCTTGGTTTATGTTACAATAAGATTTTTGTAGATTGTGATTTCAATACATCTTAACATACAATAATTTTTCTCCCAGTTCTAATCAAATAGTGCACATGTGATAGGTACATTCGAACACATGCATTTCCACTGTTTGGTAGTGATTCTGACGCATGCTTATGATATGGTTGGAATAGTGGACCTTTCGTAGAGATAGGTTATGGTTTAGGAATGTTTTCTACGGTTATTTTCACATCGAAATGAAATAGTCATGGATGAGGATCTAGAACTGACCTGCTACAGCAGTATTGCTGGCTAGAGTCCCCGCAACATCCATAGCTGCACATAAAGGTCATACCGTCATTGTGGCAATATGAAACGCCATGTGCTGAAAAGACACATTCAGGTAACCTGTATGAAACGTACGTGTAACTAATACATTGGATAAGTTAACATAGCAAGGTCATTTGAGGTGGTTTTCTTAGATTTACATGCCGGGCCTGTTTGAACGTGTTGGAAATGATGTCATGTTAGATAATTGTACATAGGTTACAAAGAATACGTGCCCCACCTACCTGAGACCAGATGTCCAAACAGCAGCACACTTACTCCAACAAAACAATGTATGTTCATAATGGCTTCTTCTGGTATGCTACAACAAATATCAACAAATCCCTGATATGTTACAGCCTAATGCACCAATAGCACTATTGTAACTGTAAGCTGTGTGTGCGAGGTGGTCGTCTAACTCCACTGTGACAGGGGAAGGACGCGTGATCTTATCAACTGCACGTACAGTCAATACATACATAATTTATGATGACATGAGTAAGGGTCTGTTGGGCGCAACTACATGCATTGGGCCCAATGTTTCTCGTAAGAAAACAACGTCACTGATTGAAACATCTACTTGTTTCAAAATTCCTAAAGTTTATGATAAATGCAGACACAAACAGATTTGTTTGTTATTTACAAATAGACGACATGCCCTTCCGGCCGCATGACAGAGCAACTATACCTCCAGTCAACGTTTAAAATGCGTTGTCTGCTTGACATAAACACTTCCCGACATTTATTTGACTGGGTTTAATACTGTAGTGCGACAGTCGCATAAGGGGGACCAAGTGGTTAAGCGTTCGCTAGTCATGCCGAAGGCCCGGGTTCGATTCCCCACATGGGTACAATGTGTGAAGCCGATGTCTGTTGCCCCCCTGATTTGCTGGAATATTGCTAAAAGCGACGTAAAACCTTACTCACTCACACACCAAGTCACCTAAGGTGTAGTGCAGAGTTACGTAGAGTTTACCAAATTCCCCGTGGTAATTGATACCAGTCCTAAATATACAAAATAATACACCAACAGTCTTTCACCTATAACTTTGACATAGAGTGATGCAGTCTTCATTTTAATTGTACTAACTCTGTTCAAGACAGTAAGTGAAATAGACAAATGAAGAATTGTGAATTCTTTGAACATGTCATACATGTCGAAAGTAGACTGCTGAATAATCTTAAATAACCATACGTAAATGTCTTAAAAGTTCTGAGTGACAATCTGGCACATTACCAGTCAGTCTGAGCAGTATGCACGGTGCTTAATGAAATGAGTCACAAGTGAACGCTTCATATCGAGTATTTCAGGACGACGATTTTAGACTGCTCGAAAAGATGAACTGCGTAACACATATAATCATGAATTTCAACTTGAAATAAAACAGGAGTCACTCTCTAATTTGTTCAGCACTATATAGGGTTTTTTGATGAGAGATGGTTAATATATGTGTACGTTATTATAAACATCCTTTTGGCCCACAAGAGATATAGGTGAGTAAGGATGAATATATAACATGACATCTCCAGGAGCTTAGGATCAATGGGACTTATGAGTATGACTTATGAGGCCAAGACACCGGGTATGAATGATGTAGCTTCAACGTCAGAAGACGCTTTCCTGAGCCAAAGATAAAATGACGGAAAGGCTTTATGCAGAGTCAGTTGAGGCTAACAAGAATGGTTATTGTATTCTATATAGACAAATCATACTTTGCTTTGAACATAGGACCTAAACCCTATATCAAGGATGTCAAATGTTACAAAATCCATCAACATTTAGAAGACTTGCATCAGTTCAGTTCAAACACTATTGTAATATCTTGAACAAGATATTTACTGACAACATTTTATCAGAGATAGTGAACAGTTTTCGAACGAATGCTAAGCATCACCGGTCTGAAAGCTTGATGATAGAATAACTGAAATATTCGATAAATATACATGAGTTTCTTTCTTTTTGTCGAACAGGGCTTAAGAAAATCTATAATATTCTCTCTACGTCTTTGCCCGGCCTTCTGTTCGTTACTGTTTTTGTCGATCCATCATTCAAGATACTCTAGTCTATTCCTTGTCCTCAACTCTTTTCTCTGTATACATAAATACTTTGATGGAAGAAGTAATTGTTATTACGTCTGGAATTTCTATAGACCTTCCTCTTCTGCTTTTGCAGATATTTTTCACCTGCCAACGATAGTACAGGCATTGCCACTGATGTTTGGTACAGTTGCTATTTGAAAAGCTTTTGTAAGTAAAGAACTAATAAATCTTTCTAATTTCAGGAACACACATATTTGTGTGATGGTCATTTTGAGCTCCTAGACCCCCCAGAGATAGAAATCAACAAATATTTATCAATATAAGAGAATCTTGCTTTGTTAACATTTGGATCTATAGTTTTCAGCAAAGCAAACATATCAACAGGCATATATTTTCCGGATTACAGTAAAATGCACTGAAGCAGGTGGGATGACCTATAACCCTGTAAACAAGATTGTATGATACCCATCTTCAACCAATCTTCCCTCGTTATACCAAAGGTCCGGGTTCAGTTTTTCGCATGGGGACTCACTCATTCACTTCTCTAGCTTTGCTTCTGTTTCTGCCTACATTGCACACAAATGATTCATGGATTTTTAGGATTTTATGAAACACAAGTAATATTCTTGGGAGCACATTGATTATGCAAATAAAAATATTTAAACCCTTTCCACGACCTCATCACACCACAATTCTACAATTCCGACTGTAACATGAGGTGTTCACCTGAAGAAGAAAAACAACTACACGGGAAAGCATGGATCAAGTCCTGCCTGTATCGCCCAATATGGGGGTAACGACACATAATCAGATATTTATTTATTTGATACACTTTCCGAAGAAAGGTTGCTCATTAAGATTTTTACCTACATGTTGAAAATAGTAAAACCCTTTTCAGAGTTTACATTAAGAACAGAGCATCTCCAGTTACTGTATCAAATATTGCAAACCTTGAGTACCAGGCAACGTAACTATATCATCAGCTAAATGCCACACATATACTCATGGAAACGAATAAGGGATCACATGAAAGTACAAGTGTTCCCTTATTCTTTTCCAGGTTTCTTCACAAGGTATGTATTGCACTATGGGTGAAATTCTGGAAATAAATAAAGGAACACTTGTACTTTCACGTGTTCCCTAATTCGTTACCATGAGTATATCTTACCAATATTTACATAAAGCTGCAATTATCATAAATATATGCATAAAGTTAATGAAAAATGTAATTAAGATTACAGCTGTAGCATATATTTTGGTATATAAATACAAGAACATATTTCATGGGTTGTCACAAGTCACAGTTCATTATTACCACGGGTAATTTAAAAGTTAAACGAGACTTACCTGTAAGTTGATGTTTGACTGGGATTCTATCAGCTTATCTTAAGTAATGAAAGGATTACGTGAGATTGCTCTGCGCATGTGCGAGTCAGACAGTTAAACACTTGTGAGGGAGAATCAGAAAACCAATAAGTATTGGAAATAAGACAACCAACAAACAAACCAAATAATGATATTAATGGGTGTGCTTAGTTCTGGGAGGGCACGTAATCCCTCCATTACTTAAGATTAGCTGATAGAATCCCAGTCAAACATCAACTTACAGGTAAGTCTCGTTTAACTTTTAAATTCTATCAGCTAATCACGTAATGTTCGGTATTACGTGAGACTTTAAAGACTGATACTGACTCACAACAGATTAGAATTTATAACAACATCATAAAGGCAAGTCACAAGTTTACTGAAATGTTGGGTTATCCAGACAATAACATAATTATGTCAACGTACACAGTAAGTCATGGACTTAGAACAAAGGCTTCTCCAAGAGTCTGTAACTGACTACATATTGTGAAATACTTGAGAACTGCTTCAGCAAATCTTTTACCTTTATCAATAGGTTTATTGTAAAATCGTGCAAATGTAGTCTCTGAAGACCAATGTTCAGAATCTCTGATAGTGGCACTGATGCAGCCAGTGCTGCTGGGGGTGCTGCAGCTCTAGTACTGTGAGCTTTTAATGACAAGTCCTTGACAGGTGACAAAGTTGCCAGGAAACAGAGGACATCCTTCATAATCCATTGTATTTTGGTTTTGGTAGGTTTAACTGAAATGCTCCCTTTAAGAAACGGCAAACAGTTGGGTGGTTTCCATATGGGATGTTATCCAGTCGAATGAATGTTGAGAGAGCACATTTCGCTGTATCAATAGAGCTATAGCCCAGTTCTTGTTTCATCAAATTGAGAAGAAACTCAAGAACATGACCTATAGATGGTTCATAAAACTTAATCTGCCCTTGACAACAAAAGTTTCTCCATTTTGCGATATAGCAGGAATACTGACGTCTTGTTTTGCTGCGCCATGATCCAACAATGACTTCTGTTGGTTCACTAGAAATGCCTCTCTGTCTGTAGGATGTCCCGATAGCATAAAAGCAGTCAGTTTCAGTTTACTGAGAAAGGGATGTCTGTTTCCGTTGGAAGATGTTAGCAGGATCTGATTCACAGGTAATTTGAGGAGCCTGCAACACAAGAGGGATAACAAGTGTGAGAACCAGGCTTGTGTAGGCCACAGTGGTGCAATCAAGAGAACTCATAAATAAGATCTTTATGCCATGCCTGGTAGAATGAATTGATTGCGAAAGCCTCAGGATCTGGGCGCCAGCTTACAAATTTGTTAACTTTCTTATTCAGTCGTGATGCTAACATGTCAATAACAGGACTAATGTCAAAATGCCTAATGATAGCTGTGTAGACTTGAGCATTTAGAGACCATTCAGTTCTATCTGAAAACTTTCTTGATGCCCTGTCTGCATCTATATTGTTTACACCTGCTATATGTGAAACTGTCAGCCATATAGATTGCTCTTTACACCAGGTCCATATTTCTTTCACCAGAGTATTGCATATTTCAGATTTTGAACCACCCATAGCTTGTATATATGCCACTGCAGAAGTGTTGTCAGACAGAATATGAATGTGTGTTCCACTATAATCATGTGTCAGAGCAAATGCCTGTAAAACCAACAATATAGCTTTAGTTTCGACCACATGGTACTTTTCCTCAATATTTGACCATCTACCACCTATACGTTGATCTAGCTTAGCACCCCAGCCATTTGAGCTGGCATCTGTATGTATTTGAAGGTGGAAGGATACTTTTTTCTGATCCTACAATATTTGTAGCCCGCCATGATATTTCACTTCTACAAGTGGAATTGATTTCCATCAGAGACTTAAAACTTCCTGCATTTTTCATCAAAGCTTTAGATTTGTCAGTGTCAAGGTACCGATAATACAGAGGACCAAATGTGACTGCTGGAAAGCTTGATACCATAAGACCAAGTAATTGGCAAATAGTTCATATTGTATGGTCTTGTTTCTTAAGAAGTGATAAGCATTGTTCCTGAAAATAACATGCCTTTTCATCTGGTAGTCTGACTGGCATCTTCAGAGAGTCGATAATGAATCCAAGAAATCTGATATTTGTAGCTGGCTCAATACAGAATTTTTCTATATTAATTTGAAGCCA